GTCCTCTCAAATAAAAGAGAAACTATTCTTCCTGATTCTGTGTTGACTATGATGCCAAGTGTATAGATATTAAAAGAGCTTGCTCCTCCGACTGTTTTCTTATGGCACTGGATACTTTCGGCAAATCTGGTGTTTAATTCGATTTTACTGTGCTCTGTTAAATCTCTTTTAGGCAGTTGTTTCTTGCTGCTTGCTTTCACCCTAAATCCCAGATGCAACAAGATTTAAAAAATCAGTGTACAAGACGTGAGCTCATTGCTTTGTGCTTCTTGTATGCCGCAAGACAGCACCTTTAGTGGATGTAGTCAGCTACTGATGGGAGCGGTTCTCTTCCTGAATAATGGTTGTACAAGTAATGCACGGGAAAGAAATGAAAATGAAAAACTTATTATTATGAGTTTTTCAATTTAATCATATAATTAAAGTTTGTCTTAGGCAAACTTTTGGGCTTATTTGAAAGGTAATGTCAAAGCACGTTAGAGACCAGAACAAATAAATGTATCCCAGATTTTAGTCTATGAATGTGTGATTCAGTTTTGTACCATTATTATAACATCAACTGATGTTGCAGGAATTCATTTATTCCTATTCACTATGTGAATTTCGTCACTCCAGGATATGTTTATCATGCTTGTGTTACGGGTTCAACACTTTGGCATATCAGTACTACACACGTGGTAGTGAATTTATGGTGCAGTGTGGCTTTCTGCCTGATGACCCACATGAACACACAATCAGGACCCCTGATCCATGGATTCGCATGTGCGGTACGAGAACACTTAGTTTGTTTCAGTTTCGTATTCTTGGTTTCGATAATCAGCCTCGCGTAGTTCAGGACGAGGATTTTGACTTCAAACTCAGAGCTACGGGGTTCAAATCCCCTTTGGTAATAAAACGCATCACATACTGCTGATGAGTCCTGGCAAAGATGAAATTGCTTTTTGGTGCTACTTTACGGTCACGGCACATACAATTTCGTTGCATCAATTTGGTACTTTTCAGAAATCAACTCTTCAGGCCGTATACTAACTTCAGGAGTGCATTATACTCTGAGCCGATACAATGGACTAATCATGGATTATGTCTAGTGCATCTATAAACCACTGGGTGCTTATTTAGGATGTGAATGAAATTAAAAATCTATGTGGTTATTTTTGAGTGGTTGATCATTGTTTTGCTAAACAAGCGGTCAAGTCAGGTCGGTCAAGTCAGCGGCAGTATCTAAAGGCTTTGGGGGTTGGAGGTGCACCTGGAAATTCGTAAGTTTCCGTAGAAAACATTATCAAAACATTGAGAATCTGGCACAATAGGTTTTTTTTACCACTATGTTAAACTACAGGCAATGCCTCACTATGGAGGCAATAGAGTGCAGTCTCGAAAGAGAAATATCGAATGGTACAAGGGAGCCCCGTTGGTAAAATATTCTCAAGGTTGTTCATTAGGTCATTCTTGAAGCTAACTGATTCTCACATCGAAAAAAAATGTTTCTGAAAGTACGGTTAGTGCTAATTACATCTCACTTAAATCATTTCTACACAATGTTTTTTCCCACAAATTGTTTTCAAGCCAGTAAGCCCGTTCCGTAGGTCTTCTCAGACTGACCATTTTATTCCGCATGTTTAAAGCAAGTTAAATTACACATGTACCATCTTAAAAAAATTATCCTAATCAAGAAGCTTCTCTCCTTCGAATTGAATAGAACTTTAAGCACGGCCTATTTCTGAGAAAAAAGTACCGATCTCTAAATTGAAAGTAATGTGGAAAACGTTATTAGGCATAAATACATTAGTTATACCGGATATTATAACTAATTCGTTTGGATTGTCTGCAATGAGATATGCTTTCATCGTAGATAGTTCATGGAAGAAGCTGTATAATGATTTTCGCGGATAATAACACAGTCCAACACGTTACAACCGTAGTATCATTCTATGCGGAAGGTAAAAAAACATTTACCACCGACAAACACCAAATTTCTGAAAAGTATATCCGGTTTTAGGAGCTGTTATCAATGATTTTTTGTGTCATGCAAAATGTTATGGCTAATGAACTCCTAGTTAGCAATTATTGATACTGTAGTTCATAACTGAGTCTCTGTATAAAGCACTGGCTAGGTGGCTTCTTTCTTTGGTGGAGAGATCTATATTTGACTAATATCATTTCATAATAAGTAATATATGATTGACCAGACCAACTTTCCCTGGAAGCACAAGACCGGTTTCGCGGTTTGTGCCGCTCGTCAGACATGCGTACCCGGTAACCTTTTGTCAGTTTATTCATATACTTGTACCCAGGAAGTTTATTTTCGTCACAATGACCTTGTTTGCATATAGATAAATATACATAAAGTATGCATATATGGGGCAATTTGATACCCAGCAGCTTTTAAAATCTGATTGACTGTTGGTTACAGTTTGATTAACTAAGTAATTGCCCAAAAGCTGGAATGCAACAGTAATTATACAGCTGTTGTATCAGGAATGAAGATATTTTTTGACAAAATTAGCACTGAATACCCACATACGTTTAAGGTCATGCGCGTGTTACGTTAAGGAATAAAACGTTCTATTTTAATAAATAATTTCCAACATAATTCTAATATGGCAAAAATTAAGAGCCCATCATTCACCACGTAACATTTCCGAACAGACACAGTGGAGGGGTCTAATCGCAGGATGGATAGACCAAAATACCTAGGGACTGTTAAAATTTATGGTTCTGTGCGCTCTTGGAAAACAATGTTTTAATAGACGACGAACGCTATGCACTTCATTTCACCTTTGATAGTAGAAAAATGATTCATGTAAGAAAATGATCAAGATTACAAAATCGGATTGATATCATTGTGTTTCACTTCAACTTTGGATCTAGTATATTGTTTTGTTCAAAGCCATCAAGTACCAGGTGACATTTGTTAAAAAAACGGAAAACGCGACTTGCCTCTAATATGTTGCCCTCACGTCAACATTGATAGTGGGCATAAACAACAGACTATGTCGTAATGTTTTACTCCTTAAAAGTACGGAACCATCACGCCGTACGATACATGTGAGATAGACCGGAATGTATTTGGCTTTCTGTATGAATCAAATATAGGAATTGGTTAGTTTAAGTCAGGGCCAGTTTGAAGCTGGTGACTGTGAAAGGAAACGTATATAATGAAGCCTTTTCATCGTTTATTGTGTTCGAACTTTAATACAGTAACCCGACCCAATACTTAACTACGTTATTGAGCCACTCTTAGTGTAAATTGTGTCTAACCGTCCAAGCTCATAGACTTTCTTCGTTCATTTGATGTCAGGTGAGAGGATGCTATTCATGAGTAACAAAAATGCGTTTGTCAAACCATCTTTATGGCTGTTTGAACACTTACCACGAAATATAGGGCATATGTCCCATGCTGCGATGACCCCTCGCGATGTGAATTGACCCAATGCGACCTCGAGCAGGAAAAGTGGTATACCGGCAAAGAACACGCTGATAAAGTAGGGAATCAGAAACACCCCTGTGGTGTTCGAGAAGAGAGAGCCATTTGGAAAGACAAAGTGGAGGAAAATAAAAGTAAAATTAAAGCCAGTTTTATTGAGAGTGAGAAGAACATTTAATCAGGTGGCTGTGTTCAGTCCCTGACGGCTTCAACGATTGTTAACAGTGGTCTCAAGTTCCAGTTGGAATGAATAAGTTACATTTTATTGATGGAGGATTTTAGTAGATTGTATAGTAAACTTAATCTTGTAAGGTGCAAACGAAGCGTGACCTGAAGAGCTCTATTGTGAAAGAGGAAAATGTAGAGCGGTCTGATCGGCTGTTTGGTGGTCGAGCGGGTACTTTGATTACGCTTAACCTGTGAGATTCCGGGTTTGATTCTAAGTTGCATCGATGGATTTCCACTGCTGATGAGACCAAATCAGGTTACCCAGTGCTTGCAAGCTTTTTCGGTTTGCGCTCCACTCGCTCTTTAAACGACTAGATTTACAGTATGGTCCGCTTCCATCGGTGAAATTGAAGTTCTGATAGTATGAGAAGGGAACAGAACAGATAGGTTTAGTTATCCATTTTTGCATTTCAACATTTCCGAAGGGCTTGTCCGTCTTTTCATTTTTACCATCGAATTTTTTACGTTCAGCGGGTACTTCTTTCCGTATTTTCTCGTCACCAAACCTTGACGGTCATCACACTGACGGCTGAACCCTTAAGGTTTACGTAAATTTTACGGCATCCCCATGATATGTTTCAAACTACCAATGAATAAAGGTTTTCCATCAGTTTATCTGGTTTAAAAATTGTTTAAGATAAATTAAAAATCATCCTCAGCATTGATCTCGCGGAATTAAGCCTGTTTTTTTGTGATTCTGTACAATCAAAATAGTTTCACGGTGGAACAAATGACAACATGAGACTGAGAATTCGCAAACCATTTTGTTTTTCCCAACAAACGGACGCAAACGTTCAAAATATCTGATCCATCTTGGCGCCGCTTACGTACAACGCGTACTGGCCGTGGTACCGCTTCATTTCAATGAAAGGTTTTGTGCAAATGAATTTTCTGTTTGATTTTGTGTGTTATGCTACCACCTACGTTATTTCACCTTCAACGGAGTCCTTCTGCCAGATTTTATAAAACTTTCAATTGGCTGACTATAATCGATTCTTTAATCGAAGGGGACAGGTTTCTCTAATGTTTTTCTAATGTCACCTATGTAATCTGTAAACGGCTTGAGAAGGAATTACTTAAAAACAATTGTTTCGCCAAACTGTAATTGTTCTAAATGCTGTGATGGGAATCTTTCAGACATTGGGACAGGTTGTATTAGAAATCATATAATGCACCTTTGAACACAAGAAGTAATAAAGCACATGAAACATTACAGTCCCGCAAAATATATGACACATTTGATGGAGTTCTGATTGAAGTACCAACATAAAATTCACCTTTTTCACCGTTGTATGCGTTCAACAGTAAAGTTACCATTGATTGCTTATTTGATGAAGAATTTATCTGTGAACTTTTGAGGTTTTGGATGATGTCCATAAATATCACCAATGCGAATCGGTGTCATACATGCACAGTGGTAGTACTTGGATTTACATACATACATACATACATACGTACAAATAACTGTATACAGCTTTATTAAAAATGGGAACAATGATAACGGTCTTTTATGCAACAAAACATATAAAATGATCCTAAAACATTTGACATACTCACCTCCTCCGTTCTTGTAACACAAGTAGGGAAAGCGCCACACGTTTCCAAGCCCAATTGAGAATCCCATGCAGGCAACCAAAAAGTCCAGTTTCCGTTTCCATTGGTCTCTTAATAGAGGTGCTTCACCACTATTACTGTCACTGTCGGATTCCAGCTTCACCTGCTCCGATTCGGGAAACACTTCAATCGTTTTTTTAACCTGAGTCGGAATTCGGCTTGCTTTCATTCTGTCACACATGACTGCTACTCTGTTTTGAAGCTTTTTTCTCAACACTGTCTCGCAATAGATTGCACTTGCGATCAATCAGGAACAGTTAACGTTTATAGGGTACTACAAATATTATTCAACCTTTTGTCAAGTATGCTAGATCGCTCTCTTGACTTTGAAGTTGAGTCGTACTGAGACTGTCGCGGACTAATCACTCTACTTCCCTCTAATCCGTGTTTTCCGGTTCTACACAGCGGTTGAAGCCGCGAAGGATTATTATATATTGGTATTATCCAATGTGATACACTTGCAAACAACTAAATGCACAGTATGAAAATTATTTGGGGCATTCAATTTGGGAACGTTTCCGAATCGTGCAATGAAATCAGTGATGCCTGTCTAAATCACATCAACCAAACTTTTAACCTTGAGGTATGTATGTTATTGGCCAGCAAGAGCATCTTGACCGATGTGGTCTGATTACTGACCAATCAAATGAAAGTAGTGTTTGTGAACCTTTTTTCTAACCTGGAAATCTATTTACAGGTTCAAGTATGATCCCACGTGAAGGTATAAAAACGCTTGGGTCATTATGAAAGCGAAGTGACAAATTGTTGGTTTTATTAGGTGTTCATCATCCGAATTGTTTTTAAATTTCCACATGCTTTACACTGATCTAATAAATCACGTGAAATGTAAAAACTACAATTTGATAGTGGCCACCTCACAAATGTTAACAGAACAGTGTTTATGATGGATTTATAGAAAAATGTGTGATTTTCATCTTTTTGTATCACGTGACTTGTCAGATTTCTTCAAATACAACTCTTAGCATGTGTACTGCGACTCCAGGACATGAGTGAGCTTCTATGTTTTCATTCTAAGAACAAAACAAGGCACACGTTAAAGAAAAATAGTTTGTCAAAAAAGCGTTTTTCGATGATTCAACTGTTTTTTTAATACGTCACATTTCACGTGGTTTGATTATATGTGGAGAAACGACAGATGATGTCTTTTTGGGATAAGCGAAGAGCAACCAGNGGGGGGGGGGGGGCTGCGTGCATTCACAAGCTCCTTTTGGGGTATGTAAACGAATTTCTTCAGCCTCGACTGTACTCTAAATGTGGTTTAGTTTGGCTCAGTTCCAAAGTAGAGAGAACAAAAGGCTTTCTTCACATTCGAACTGCGGTTAAATTGAGATAGGTGTGCAACATTAGCATTGATAATGGTCTTAGTTTCACCGGTGTCCAGCCAGGGCGGGTGAATTGGAATTCGCGCGCGCGCACCTTGAACGGCTTCGCTACAATTTCTCGCCACCGTTGCTTTCTGGAATTTATCTACCCTAATTGCTAAATATGTGTGCTTTAACCATTTACACAAAATAATTCATGTTAAAAATTAAGGATCTTGCTATGAAAAACCATACTGCCATGTTTGGAGTGCCAGTCGCTAGTCAAACGCACAAATACTGAAAACACGGATAACGCATTCATGCCGGTTGGCAAATTGGTCTTGGTCGTACTGCTCCCAACGAGATGACTGTACCTACCATTGTGAGTAACAATGTCCGTTCTGTGTTTGGAAATCTTCCGGATTTATCCTACCTGCTCCAGCGAAAGGAATTTCGCACCTCTTGTGTATTGTGTCTTCAGAAGTCATGGCTCAATGAGGATGTGGACGATTCCGTGGTCCAACTGGATAATCTTGTCTGCTTCAGACAGAATAGACAACAGTGTAGAAAGAAGTTAGGAGGCGGTGTGATTACTTACATCAATTCCAATCGGTGCGACAAGTCCGAAGTACGGTTTAAGTATTCACAGAATGGCGTTGATTGCTTGACTGTCGTCTATCACCCCAAGTTCTCCCGCTTTCCTTTTATCGCCATCAATAATTTATACGTTGCACCCCAGTGTAGATTGTCAGATATTGACACATTTTACGATAATTTTCTTACCGGTTATTGCCCCATCTCTTGCTGATAGCTTGCACCCAATAGCTGGTGACTTTAAGCACACCCTTTATTCTGTCCAACCTAACTGACCTTATTATTGAACCAACTAGAGGAACCTCTCATCTAGACCACATAATCACAAACCACGCTGACACATTTTCTACCAAACAGTTCTCCCCCTTAGGCACCAGTGATCACAGCCTGATCCTGGTCAGGCCTAACATTTACTCACACTCAGGACATTTTTCAATCACCTGACCCAAACACCTCATGTTCCATCAGCGAGATCTTTCCCCAGACAATATTACCTTGCTTAGATCGCCTCTTAAGGTAGTTACCGGTTGTTTCCTTTTAAACACAACCTATTTGTCAAATATGACATTTATAACAGAAGTATTAAACTGTGCTTTTAGCATGTGCTGTCCTGTGATATCTTTGTTTCTTCAACATGTCAGAGTATCAACACCTCGTCTTAAACATCTTCTCCGTGAACAGTAACGTGCAATTCAATTTAGCAGGAGGGCCAAAATGCAACGGCTATCGTTTCTGATCAAGAGTGACATAAGACGATTGAACATCCTTTATGCAAGTCAGTTTTTTGGGACGAGAAACTGTAAATCTATGTGGCGTAGCATCAAACTACTCTGCAAACAGAAGAAAGTGATTTCCAGTCCCTCTATTGATATTCAAAAACTGAATGAGCATTTGTTTTTTCTTCACCTGACACATACCCCAGTTATGTTGATTCCAGTTCTCCAAACACCCTACCTTCGTTCGATCCCATCGCCTCTAATGAAATGTACAAACACATGTGTTCTCTCAAGGTGTCGACCGCACCTGGTCCAGACAGCTTAAGTTCTACTGTTCTTAAACGCAGTGCTCTGCCACTGTCTCAGGTTTTTGGCACACATAATTTCCCCCGAACTCCGAACTATTCTGAACTGCTGGCCCCCAATGAAAATTACTCCTATCCCCAAAGGAACTTCAAAGGCTCCAATAATGAGGCGTTTCTGCCCAATTATTTTCA